CTATCAAAAACAAAAGCAGATGTTATTACGGCAGATGTGGAGTCAGGAAAATATTTACATATTTGAAAGGTTTGTATAATTTTGCCTTGTGGGCTCCGCAAAAAAGGAACCATGGTCATATAACTTTACCTATTTGACTTTGTCATGCAAAATATTGGATATTTTTTCACCCCTATATGAACAGCCTGCGTATACATAAAATTAATTCAGTGTAATACCGACACCCACTTCAAGCCCTGGAAAGACACTGGCAGACGGAAGTACACTATTTTCCGTTGTTAAAATGCCTGCAACATCTCCAGCAGAAACAATTTTAGGAAATGAAAGTATTTCTCAAGAGCTATCAAAATAAAACAATGGAAACACATTTCAGAAATCCCACGTGCTGATTTCAGTCAAATAATTGTGCACTGACAATACACAGTTTTTTTTTTTACGGAGAACACTGAATAGCAATTCCAGATATCATTCCCCTTTCTCATACAATATTCATGACAATCCTTTGTATCATTCAGCATGCACATAGCATTAGAATCTCCACCATTGTGCAAAAGGAAAACAGTCGTATGTGAATCATTTTTCTCTTTTAGCTATTTGAATTATATTAGCACGATAAAATACGTCTTCAAAAACCAAAAATCTTAGACCAAGGGAAATGCAGAAAATGTGTGTATGACTGAAAAGTGACTAAGGTCATTAAAGACAGGACAGCCATTAAGAGACAAGCTGAGAATGACAATAACTGGGGAAAAAAAAATCATTCTTTTTCTACCACGTTCCTGTTCCCCATATTTGCAGGCTACATCGCTTGATGAACATTTCCTCTGCGTCACTCATATTATGTAAATCTCTTTCCCTCCAATAGGAGGCGTTGATAGGGAAATTCCCTTTGCATGATTAAAGATGATGGACGACCCGAGCAGAAGAAACCTGAGGTTGCGACTATTAAGTCTGCACTCCCTGAATGTCAAAATGCCCCCCCCCCCCTCCCCGAACATGTTAACTGCTCAAAAAAGGGAGAATTAGCCAGCCCGGATTAGCCTGAGGTGTATAACAAGGCATCTTTACAGGGTAATCATCCCCTTTGTGATAAAACAGGCCAAGCATGACATTACAAAAATTCACCTTAACCGGTAAAAACCAGTTTAAAACACAAAGAACATCCCTGATAACTGACTGCACCCCTGCCAAGATGGCTTTTGTGATGGCTGAGAAAAAATGATGGATGTTTTGATGACGAAACGAGAAAAACAAAGATGTGGCATGCATCTCGCGACAGAGCATAATCAGAGACGTGACAGGACATTAAAGAGGAAACACAGCAAAGGCTTGGATATATTTACCAGAGAGAATCCTTCCTTTCAACCGCCTTATTCACTGTGTGTGTGTGTGTGTGTGTGTCTGTGTCTGCGTGTGTGTGTCTGTGTGTCTGTGTGTGTGTGTGTGTGTGTGTTTGCGTGTGCATGTGTGTGAGTGTGTGCGTGAGCGTGTGCGTGTGCATCCTTTCGGACTCGGACAGGCAAGCCGGAAAGGAGATATTACAGTATGGTACACGCGCGGGCGTCGCCTTGAGACGCATGACCCAAAATGATGCTCAGAGGCCGCCTGATGACCTCCCGCCTGCCAAGCCCCCTGTGATTAATTCAACGTGCCCTTGAAACGATCTCCCAGATATCCTTGCGATTTGGTGGCGACTCCCAAGCTTCTAGAACCTTACCTCGGATCACAGAGGAGAGTCTGGGAGTCATTACCTTTCTGCATAAAAAAATGGAAAGAAAATTTGCAGAATTGCACTTTATCAGTGGGGATGAAAAAAATTAAATGATAGAGAGTGAGAGCAATTCAGCCATTGCAGACATTACAATATATTTTCCTGCTGCCCTGACCAAGGCATCTCCAATGAATGCACGACCCTGGCACAGCAATTTTTAATTTTTGACAGGCCGAATTACCATTCATCCACCTTCTTTTCTGATTATGTGCTGGACAGTGAAATTTGGACTGCAAAATGTAATTTTTTTTCTCTCTCTCTTTTTTTTTTTCCCTCGCCCAACACCATGACAACAATCCCGGCAGCCACAAGGACAGAATGAAGAGAGCAATCTAACATCCAGGGATATGAATTCCTGATCAGCTGCCGGCAGGCAGGCTGCGGAGGCTTACGCTAATCCCATTGGACAGCTCGCCGCGAAGAAGCCTGGGAGTCGCCCCCACAATGCGGGGAGCCCCTGCCATTGCAAGCGTCCGCCCATAATTTAAACCCAAACGAGGAGGGGACTGCGCCCGGCGCCACAACAAGCTGTAATTTAACTGGCGGAACAGTTATGCAAATCATTTTAACCTGCATCAACCTTTAACCTATTCCCTTTGTGCTGCCTTTTGTCCCCCTGAAATTACCATTCTGTTGAAACCGACCAGCAGTCAAGCTGAAATGTTGCTCAACAAATATTTCTACATGTTCCTCTAAGCGAAAATGTCTTAATGAAGTTGTATCCCCCTAACCCAATGTTTAAACATTATAAACATAAACTTCCAAAGGAAGTGAGCTAATGGGGACAGGGCTAAGCGCTGTTCATTTGATTTTTGTTTATTTTCTTTTTTCTTTATCATTTTCAGATTCCCTGTACCTGCCATTAATTTCTTCTTAACTGCCGCATTACCCAGAAACGCTGCAGTTCCATACGGATGCCGCGGTGACATATGTCGTGTAATTATCTACCCGGCCCAATAAAGCCCTGTCACAGACACTGGCCACTCTCACTACGTATTTTAATTTGAGACCCTCGGCTGGAAACTCGAAGCCTCCCGTCTAAGGAGAGATTTTAAACAGCTGGGGGACCCTTTGAGTACACATCAGAGCAACAGAATTGACCAAGGCTATCAGAGTCTGTTAGCCCAAGACTGACAGTGCGTATTCTTATAAAGGTCAAAAGAGTGCGTACTGTAGCTTCGTGACCAAATGAACTTTGCAAATGTTATTGTACAATATGGCTGGTCCGTGAATAGAGCGCTACTGCAAAACACAGCATCACTGTTGGAGATTTAAAAAATGCCATCAGCAATTTTATCTCAAGTCAGACCTCATCACAAATGGCTGTTGCAGTGCATGATTTTGTCAAGTCTAAGTTTTTTTGTTTTTTTTTCTATAACGGAATCCAAGTTTTATTACATTTATAATTCTGCTGAGTGTATAGTTTACAGACATTGAAAACCATGAAAGGAGACACCGTCGTACTGACGTGAAGAGACAAGACACTTCTCTGAATACTTCATAAAACTTTTTGCCAAGTCTGTGAGACAAATCAACAATATGAACAATATGGCAACATGCAGTGCAGGGTGTCCCAGTGCCTGCTGGGGAAGGCTCAGACCTGACTGGATAAGCCATATGTAAAACAGATGGATGGATTGATGGATGGATGATATCCAAATAATAATAGAGTGTACTATCAAAATTAAATTCAGTAACAATTACTATGCTCAAACTGTTCACTATAACAAAATGGACAGAAAAATGTGTTGTGCCCTAAATGAAAAGTGAATAATGCATCTTCAAAACTAGGTAATGTGCATTCTTATTACTTCAGAGCATAGAATTCCTTCACTTGTCCTTAAAAGTACCAAAGGCCTGAGTGGCTTCCATCAGACATCTTTCACATATTTAGGGTTTGTAGTGAAAGCATTCCCTGATAATTAATCGCACATCTCAGAGGTATTGTTCATTATTCACAGACTAGCTGTGGAATTAATTTATACCAGCAACCCTATATTCAGAGACTTGGGGTGTGTCTTGACTAAGCTGAGGAAAACAGTAAACAGTTAAAAATGTTCATAGTTGACAAATACGATATAGCATCTGTGCATCCAATTGTTTAAACTGTCATAATTTGAGAATATTTAAAATGGCCATTAGCACAAATACTGTACAAATCTGAATAATATTAATATCTATCAGCTAAGCCCACTGCAATGTTTCTACTGGAGATGCGAAACAAACATACCATGGTCTAGATATACACAGTTCAAGAGAAACGCCAGTTAAATTGAAAAGTTGAATGCTAGCTGTATAAAACATTGCTGCTGTTGGGTTGCCAGATGTTGTGTGCAAAAGGCTCACTGGACAACAATGTGTACATTTAACATCTTGAATTACTATGCATTATCAAAAATAATTAAAGTTGCTTGCAACCAGTTTCATATCCTGCAAGGCAAGTGAAGCTAAGTATTCCTCCCATGAGGACAACTAGGCTCCTTCAAGGACTAGAACGTGAAACCTTCTGGTCATAAGCTCAATGTCTCTACTCATATCACACCTGCATCACTAATAGCCAGTGAGAACCTACCTTGGAAGATTTTATGGAATATATCAGCTGGAAAAGGAAAAAAAATCATTTGGTGGTATCCAAATACAGATTATGGAGTCACAGAGAAGACTTCACAGAGAATCCATCTGGTATCAACAACAGCACTGGCTGGTATTAAAGATTCAACGATCCCGGCTGTACTGAGGCATGTGAAAGGAACCACATTCAAAGCAGAAAATCAGCATTAATAGTTTATGCTGATGAGGGGAGGTAATTCACAGTTTGAGAGAAGACAATGCCATACGTGCATATTTTTGAAGGCAAGATATCGGCATGGGTGTTCATGGAGGCCACTTAACTGGATGGTGCCCATCAAAGGTGCACAGAAACGAAATTGAAAGAAGCGTTGTGGAGAAGTTTCACAGCACAATGGGCGACGGATCAGTCGAGTTTACTTGAGTGACTTAATTCACCTGAGTGGAAGATTGTGGAGAAGTTCTGAATATTAACAAGGCTCTTATTGTAATTGCATGATTAAAGTATTCTTTTACTGAAAATAAAACCATTAATTTTGCATTGTACCTTGCAATTTAATCAAGCCAGTGAGAGACATACATGTTTATATAACACAAAAACCCTTTAGTGAGGCAAGATGTTCCACTACTTTTCTGATGAGTGTTCGTACCTCACCTGTCCGTACACGCAAGACAGGCCGAGACGTCCAACTGGACAAAGGGCGTTGATCTCAAACTCCCTTGTCATGTCTTAAAAAGGGGGGGTGGAGCAGGGCATCTGAAAGGCAAGAGCAGAAGATTTACAATATTAAAAAGATCATTGCGACAGGGCCACCAAGAAGCAACCATTATTAAAAACGATTAAGGAAATGAAATTATGTAAGAGAGCGAAAGCCACGCGAGATTAAAAGCAGGGGGGGACAGGGGTGCATTAGGCTGATGAAAGCGAAGATGCTGATCAGAGTTCTGGGGTGAACACTTATAAAAAAAAATAAATAAAATAAATGTATAAAGCCACGAGTGGCTGGAGTATAACGAAAGCGCTTTCCTTGCACTCGAGATTGCGTGGAGGTGACTAAGCTGAACAACTGGACGACAATGGCCATGCGGCCTTATGTCATTCCGAGCTTGCTAACGCGTTGAACCGCCCCTTTCAATCTTCGGTGAGTGGGGGCGGGGTGTTACAGGAAGTTAATGCTGGCGTATCGAGAACTTTTCAAAAGTGCCCGGAGAGAAGATGCAGACGTGCCGCCGCATTTCCAATCGTCTGCAGCAATTTCGCAGATGAAATATATATGATGTAATCTGCTGTAATTTACCATCATGATTTTTCTTATTCTCTGATAAACAAATGTAAGGAATATTATCATTGCCTGCGCTGTATCATTTCGATTGACTATTTTCAGGTGTTTTAATTGGTTTTCTGGCTGCGGTTTCTAAACTCGCCATGATTAAAATATCATTAAAATTTGACTTTGGTAATGAAGTTTCGGCTCATGATGTCAACAGTTTGACTGGACACTGTGGAAATTTCCTCAAACTAGTGGAACCTGGATCTCACCCCAAAGCTCAGGCAAAGAGGGGAAGTAGAAAATGGATGGATCTACAGAAAAGATGGATGGTGTGTCTGTAAAGAATACAGAAGAACAGATTCCTCTGCTAGATAAACCAGTCCAACGAACATTTAAACATTTCTACCAGCTTTCATCTGGAGTGTAAGAAGATTATTCCAGACATAAAAACACAGATGACAAGGGAAGTTTGTAGTACTTCTAGAAGAACAGCTTAGCAGAACATCAGAACATGGAGCCCAAGATTTAACCCAAGAGGAAGAGTCTGGAATAAACTGGTGAGCTCAATTATGTCATGGAATTATGGAGCTGAATAATACTTCAAACGATGAGAAGATGTACAATGGCACCAGATTTCTTTGGGAAATTAGCAGATAGTTTCTTCATCCAAACAGAGACTAAGGTCAGTTTGCTATCAAAACCAAGGGCCGCATGCATCACGGCCATTTCTTTTATGTTTTCTTCTCTGCATAAGCTAACATAGTGCACAACACCTTGGTATATCTCGAATCATTTGCATCACAAAGCATCACATTTGTCACATTTTTTCTCTTTTGAGCACATATTCAAATAAATGCACTTGGACTTTATTTACCTTTTGCCCAAAATATAATTATTTCATACATAAATTACAGGAGCATTTCTTGCATGCATAAGGGAGGCACTGTACACTGTTATACATTCTAAGTTCCTATTTGTGTGTATTTCATAATTATTGTTCAACTTTCTACATAAAGAAACATGTCCTCTGAAGGAGAATGATTTTAGAACTTTGACTTCCTGTTATAATCAAGGTCTTTTTAACTTGATATCTCAAGGTTATGCCTCAGTGAATAATTCAGTAGGTTACTGAGACTGTGGCAGCATAGAAAACACGAATCTTATATTGAAGCTGTAAAGGATATTAGGGAACAATTGCAAAAAGTGACACATTTAGTAGAGAAAGATTACTGTGCACTGAATCAATTTAATTTGAACTGAGCACATTTCACAAACGTTTTCACAACATTACGGGGAAAGTTTGTGCTGCCTCTGAGGACCACCTGAGGACCACCTAAGGACCACCTGAGGACCACTTTGAGCAGCACACTCAGCTTTGGTCTGGTGCATGATCAAGGGAAAAAGTCTCAAGTGTGTTGCGTACAAGAAATAGCTGAAATTGTTGGTCAGTTTCTTATTTGTTTGTTTGTTTATTTGTTTTTCTCTCATCCTAAAATCTTGCTTGATGTGAGGCCATAAAGTAATGGGTGGAAGTGGAAGTTAATCTAGGCTTGAATAGCATCTGGAATAGGCGTCTATATAAGAGAAAAAAAGTGAAACTGATCTGCTGTGCAGATTGGGGAATTATGGGTAAATGCATGTGTGAAATTTTACGGGGAACAATCTTTGTCCTTAAGCTCCTTACTAAATGGTGAATTGGTTCATGGCCTGACATAATGACATTAAGCATAAACTGCACTTACACTGCTAGCATGTGATTTCCCAAATCGAAATAAAGAGAAAAGATGTGGCCTTTTTTGCAAACAAAACTTGTATGAATCCTACATAAAGCCTTAGGCTGGGGGATTTATGGCGGTTATGTCTCCGTGTATTCAAGGACAAGAAGTTCAAAATTAATTGTTGAGTTTTAAGTTAGGCCACACGTAAGATATAATAAATAATTCTGTTGCTTTTGTGTTTACGGTTCTACATCTAAAATCCTTCTAACTATTCAAAGAAACTTTAATATTGACAAAAAACCTCTCCGCATCTAAGAGAAACTGTGAACGGTCATGGGATATCTTAAAGAACATTTAAAAATTCATATTTATGGAGGTAGGAAAGCCTTCGGTACATAAAATAGGATGGTACAGAGAACAAATGCACATAAGTGGACGCAGCAGGAAGTATTCCGAGGTTTGTTTTCAAATCTTGTTCTAATGGGATCATAGCAAAAAAAAAAAAAACTCACGTATCACAGGATTTTGGTGACCTCTACTGGTTAGTTCTAGCTCTCAGTCTTGAGTAGTGCTGGGGGTGACAACAGGAGACCACTGAAGCAGATATCTGCGCGACAAGCCACTATGGAAACACAAACCATGGATGGATGGATGGATGGAAAATAAAAATCAACTCATTGCATTGTGAGATGTCACTATTCTGGATCATGTGCAATGCCCAGGCAAAGAAGCCAGGATGAACAAAAAGCTACAGAACTGGGCAAAATAGACAATGCCCCCTAACTGCTACCCAATCGCTGCAGATTACTCCAGAAGCAGGACGCTTTAAGCACTCTCACCATCATTGGCATTCTGGGCAGTGGTGTCCTTTCTTCCAGCACAAAGGGAAAAAAAGGAAACAATTATTCTTCCCACCCTACCGAGCACAGTGTCAGCCTGTCAGTGCTTAATACTGGCCTGTCACATGAAGCTGAGTGCTGGAAATAAGGTGTGTACCTGGAATGTTAAAGTGATAGTTTATACACAAATAAGCATCAGACCGCGATACAAACCTGTTCATTAAGCACCCCTTGAATGCACCACCAGCCCCACATCACGCATTTCGAGTTGAACCTGGTTTAAGCAGCTACTTTATTATTGCGCCTATGGGGGGGGGGGTGTGAAAAATACACCCCACGCTGCGCTGGATCCACGCTCACTGCAAGTCCAGACAAATCCTTCTCATAGACTTACATAATCCAAGGCTCTGCTTCATCTCGCATTCTCTCTTCCCATTCAGAAACACGCCTTCTTCGACATAACCTCTCGAAACAAGTCGCTGGTATGTTTGTTCTGGGTGCTGTGCTGATTGTGTCAAAAGAATGTGTTCTAAGCAATGAAAATGTCAGATCCCAATTCCCAACAAAGCATCTCCCAGTCCACTTAACTGTTTATGTTCTGAGCTGAACTAATGACATTCCATGTAAAGGAAGTTCAGTATTACTCACACTCATTGCCTTGTCATCAGCACTTGCAGGATGTCTTTACGATTATCTTGATTGACTATGGAAACAAACAGGATAAAGCTTCATGCAAATAGCATAATATACATGAGATACCACTGATGTGTGAAGGTAATTGTCTTAGTTATAGCTTTGTAGTTTGTCAGATTGACATGTCATCCATCTCCTTATGCAGTGCTGGCTGACTGGATACAAATCAGCAGTGGAGGCCTTTGCAGCAAACTATTTCCTTCCTAAATTATTGAGTTTGCTATTGTTCAAACTTCAGAGAAGCGTTTACAGAACGCAACATGGACTGCTGTAACTCTCAAAGCAATGTTCATGGAAAGATCATGTTTCGAAAAAGATCCACACATATTAAGGCTGAGTCCTAAACTTGTATTGTCCGTTTTGGCATTTCAAGTTAATAACATTGTCGTGGCATGGGGGGGGGTTTATCAAACCTGCATAAAATATATAGAAACAAACAAATCCTGACTGACTCGGAGCACCCAAACAAAGACTATACATTTGAATAAAACACAGAATTTATAAACCTTCTTTTCAGCATTAATACAGGTGTGAGTGTCTCATTCAGAACCTTTTGTGGTGCATGTCTCTTTCAAAAAGAAGATTTTCAGAAAAATTAGTTAACCATGATTTCATAATCTAATTATATTACTATTCATGTATTCAGAGTGTACTGTTCAGAATACACCAACCAAATGGTTTTTTTAATTCATGCAAGTGTGGCCGTTTTTGTTAAATTACACAAAAGCCGCATTAAAGAAATCTATTACTGAAAGAACAAAAGGAAAATGTATTTGCCTATTGTGGATAGAGAATGGGTGAATTAAACAGAGCTAAATGCGGTGGAGATACATTGCCCCGTTCAACAAAAAGATATTACATACTTGGAATGTATTAACTGCAGCAATTGAAACTGTGTTTGCAGCAATTGATTTTTGGTATAAAAAAGGTCTCTATAGAGCAAACAAAAAAGAACAAAATGCTTTGTTTTGACCTACGGCAAACTCTACTTAAGATTATTTTCCATTCTCTCTTTTTATATAAATAATATAATACAACAGAATGCAATCGATTTTCCTGGAATGTACTTACTGATAACAAAACAGATCCCCAAGAGCTCAAAATAACTTCACCTTCCCCACTTAACTTGCTTAATGTGATCGTTTACACAGCTGCAGTATTTCACTCTGATTTTTTTTCTGAGGTAGTTCCAGAGATCACCCTACAAAATTATGGGAATAAAAGTGCCTCGTTAACCTAAATGATAGACTACTGAATATTTCCAACATCTTGGTTTTAATTAACGGTTTGTATAACAACCTGAAGTTCATTTGATCCTACATAAAAACAAACAAGTTATCACACTGCATTGAGTGTCTGATTGTAATTAAAGGACCAAAATAAAAATTTTAGGGAGGTATACTTGTACATAATACCTGAAATATTTTGTATACTATAATATAAGCTGAACTTCAGGTTGGATTGAATTTGTGAATGTTTAAAAGAAAGCCATTTAACGTATTGTTGTGACCCAGGTCATATACAGAAGGGTAGTATTGATGTTCGGCTCATAGATATAGCTGCTGTTTGTCTTTAGGTTTGTCCCTGGTGATAAAATACAGGCATTTTGAACTTCCTGTTAGAACACAGTGAACAATCTTGTGCTGTTATTTAGATATAAGAGTTATACTAAGGTCCAGCAGTATGACTTGCATATAATGCATCTCATTACCTGCATATAAATTTGATTTCCATTGAAGAAAAAAAAAGTCCTGGAGGCTGTGGTCCTGAACCAATGACCTATTCAGATGGTTACTTAAAGCTCTGGAAAAAATGAAGAGAGCACTCTATATATACTTTTTTAGTTTGCATTTTTAAATCCTGGTTTAATCCTGGTTCTGCTGGCAGAAGGCTACGCTGAGCAGCAGGTTGCTTCCCGGCTCAAAATTTCTAACACAGCAGGACACGAGAATAAGGTGAAGCAGGAGACACTGGGAATGACCAGGAACCAGCCAGGTAAAGGGCGGAATGCCAGAGATGACCGTTAACTTATCCGTCAGTTTCTCATGAATCGTAGGATGATGTCAAGTGACCTTCAGAAGGAACAGGAAACATTAAGTGCAGGTGTGAAGTGCACTGCTAGGACAGTCTGTAACAGGCTTCTACAAGCAGGACGGAAGTCCCATAAAGCCTTACCATTAATTAATTATCATTAATCTTCATTAATGAGAAATATAGAAGAACCAGGCTGCAGTTTATCTATACACACATACATATATGTATATAGATGGCGTTTTACATCACAGATGATGTGATGGTATGGCAGGTTAAAACCTGAACTCAGATTTTTTTGACATAGCTATCTGAAGAAGCTGACATTTCTGGTCCAGAAAGTAAAAATCCAGACCAAGATTTTGTTTCAACCAATCAGTTCAGTATGAAGAGTCACAGTCACAAAAGACATAAGTAGTTGGTTAAAGCAAAATCTTGGTCTGGATTTTTACTTTCTGGACCTGAAATGTCCACCTCAGGCTATTTGTCATGAATGGAAGCAATATACTGGTATATTTCATATTGCAAAAAAAGTACTTGCATTTTTCAAAACAAAATGTATTAAAACTATAAATGGCAAATAATTTTCATTTTAAACATTTTAAATGATTTGGTAGAACTGATCAAATTGAGTGCATGTAAGATAATAAATTCAAAGTCAAGTCAAAGTATCTTTAATGTCGTGATTAATGGACCATACAATGAGATGAAATATTGTTCCTCTTTGGTCATAGAGCAAAAAAGTAATAAATAAAAAATACATATGTATGACACATAAACAAAAGACATACTAAGACATAAGATGGTAAATATGGGGTAGATATAAAGACATAAGATATAAATAAAAAAATATACAGTCATGCACTGCATAACAACATTTTGGTCACCAACGGACCACGTATACAATGGTGGCCCCACAAGATTATAATGGAACTGAAAAATTCCTGTCGCCTAGCGACATCGTAGCACTGCACATTACTGTATCAGCTACATACCTGATTTAGTGGTAAGGTTGTGCAAATGGGCAATGTGCGAATTATTCAGTATCTTCTTTGCTGAATGGAAAAGCTGCCAAAGAAGGGGCAGGACATGAGGACACTACTGATACCCTTTGGATCTCCAAGAATATCATGGACCACATGGTAAACAAACATTGATTCTTAAACAATTCAAACCGGAATTTTCATGCAGTAAAGACCAAATTTACGCATGGGCATTTTATAAGACCCGCAATCATGGCAACAACGTACATGTCATCGGGACCCAGGCAGAACGCCAGCCTTGTGGTCACCGGCAGTCAAACCCGACTTGATGACCCGTAACGATACTGAGATCTGGTCCATAGTAAAATAGCTATAAATAACTTTCCAAGCACTAAATGCTTGGAAAAGTTGAAGTAAAACAGGAAGGGGTTGACCAGCAACAAGGTTGATGCACTCATTCATCACAATGATGGATATGCCATCGGGAAGGCGTTAGTGTAGACCAAGGCAGAAGATCAGATTTTACCAAGAACCTGACGTTAACTTGATGGCTTCAAATTATAATGTCCATATTTGATTCATATACCCATTAATATTTAATTGGTAAATATTTTTGCAGTGTTCAGTTAAACGGGCTACACGCATGAAGTTCTCAGTGCTACCATTGTATGTACATCATTAAGGTGACCATTAGTTGAAACACACACACAGAGACATCCTAATCTGTGATCAGTCAATGTTCATCTGGTGCTGCCCTTTGAATGACAGCCAAGGTTAACAGCCGGGGTCCCATGAATTATCACGTCACTAATATTAAATTGAATGAATCAGAATAACTGCAAATAAACCACCACCCTGCATGTTGACACTCCGTTACAGCCTCACCAAAGAATCTGCAAATTCAGGTTAGCTTGATGTGTGGCAAACAGCACATCGTTCAGATCTACAAACGACCTACTGCCTGCTGTAGATGGTTCGGCAGAAATAAACGATTTTAAATGGATTCGCAAGGTTTGCCTGCTCCAGCAATCTGCTCAGAGGACGGACGACAAAAATGCTGTAGTGTATACACTACGAAAACTTAAAATCAAACATGCACAACACCCCCCCCCCCCAAATACACACGCGACATAACACATTTCATGTAATATCCGTAAAAATAAAGAATACAAATTAATCCATGATGGGGAAATGACATACAGGTAGAAGGATAATGGCAATAATGGAATTATGCATTTCTGTGAAAACTGAGATTATGTTTAATTATGTTGTAAAGAATGTCGGACAATGTGCATGAACTGCAATTAAGCGCATATAAATTCAACAGGCTATTGATTGTTTAAAATTTATAAATGGGAAGACAACAATGTAAACTCTAACATTCAAGATCAAAAATGTTTAGAAGCCTTATATTTTTCACTATGGCACTTATTATTTAACAAAAAAGTTATCTGATTCTTAATACCTTTGAATTTGCATCTTTAATAGCAACTGGATAATGATATGACAGTTCAATCAAAAATATTACGCTTAACATGATGTTAATCACGCGATTAATTCAATCAACAGCTCAATGACGCTTAATGAAGAAAACGGGTACAAGCAGTTAAAATTCCTGTCGTGACGTTAGGGGCGTGACGTGACGTTATGTCACCCATGTAGCAGGATTGGCATCACGGTACGTGGAAACTGACCCAGAAGTCGTTGTTAAAAATAAGACTAGAAGCACCCAAAAATACATGGACACTCCATAAAATTGCCAGGCTCCTTCACTGCCATCTCCTCCATAAGAGGGAAAGAGTTTGATAAAATGCTGCTGTGTAGCCATCTCCTGAATGATAGCCTAGGGGCCTAGATAGGTGCAGCAACGGCCACGGCAGAGGTGAGCTGTTGTACCAGTCCTGAGTGCAGCTACTCTACAGCTAACTCCTCCCAGGCTTGCACTATGTGGGTCCAAGAAGCCTAACAGTCATCTAACGGTCCATGGAGAACTATCCCAAAGCAGCACAGATTACATGAATAATGAACTGCAGAAGGAGTTTGGAGTTTTGCATTAACATGGTCACCCGCTCATCCTCTAGGTGTTAAAGTATAATGTCCCCCCTACCATCTGAACTAGCTGGCACACCACTGCGATCAAGATAATCAAGATCATGTTAGACCTGCTCTCATTTCTATGGACATATATTAAGGAGCAGCAGGAGCAGAATTAAGCACCAGTTTGGGATTTTTTTTTTTTCCTCAAAGCATATCTGTTGCGCATCTGCCTTGACAAAATAAAAATCGATTGATATAAATATGGTTTTTGATGAGACTGACCTACATTGGGATGCTAATCTTACAGTGATGCTATGTCACTTCATGCACTTACTGGAGAACATATCCCACAGTTTGAAAAAGATGTCTTGGGAAATAACAATACTGTAGAATGTGTTGAACAAATGTTTACCCGGAAGGAAATTTTCACAATTTCGAGAGATTATTTATATTTTAAAAAGTACCAGGTTAGTGTTACACAACTAATGAGTGTGTGTGAGCAAATGGCAGACGAATGACTACAAGAAAACTTAAACTGTCCGAATTTCGCAGCATAAATGAGATTTTCTTACTAGTTGCCCATCGCGCATGAGACACGGAAATGGTATCCGTAGGAGAGGGATGGAAATCAGAGAGAAGGCATTCATTATCTCACAGGCCCTTATCTCCTCGACGCTCTCCAAATAAACCACTGCGGGAGACAAGCGGCTGATGAGAAATTTTAATGACATGGAGGACGAATGCTTATGCAAATCAACACACATTAAACACTTTGAGTTTTACCAATCGCAGCCCTCATTAAAATAATTTCGGCGAGAGTTATATCATTTACGACTTTGTCAGACATTAAAATAAAAAATACAACTTGCACTTCGCGACATCAAAGCGCTATCTGGAACATTGATTTGCGCTTAGTAAATGCAAATATTTCCGAATTAGGCTTCCACGTTTTATGTGTTGTAGCTGGGAGGGGAGAGGGGATGGGAAAGTCCACTGCACGAGCTGCCACGTCACTTTCATTTCGGAATTGCTTCTGAATGCCTACCTCGCGCCATCAACCTTGCAGCAAGCGCTGATGCGGTTTGCTGACCTACTTATCGAAGGAGTTGCATATTAACATTTGATCATGGGGACCAACTCCTAGGCGCACACGTACCTCTGTTAGAAAGTTAAATGCAATCTTTTTGCAATACTTGGCTAAATAAGGTGACAAATTCGTATCTGGCATTCAAAGTACCACCTGAGACATCACAATACACAAAGTGCCTTGACATTCTCATATCTATCAGTGTCAAAAAATCGCCCGAACTAAAGCACAGTATTCCGGCAAGAGGTCAGTTTAACTTTGCAAATATAATTTTTTTCATGACACATCTATTATATTAAACTGAAAATTAGTATTCAACTGTCAGAAAAAACAAAATGATTAAACATTATATATATAAATAACCATTCTGAATGTGTGATAAATAAAATGACCACTAGATGTCATATTCTGCCTAAGGAAACATACACACTAAGCCATTTAATGACGTCAACTACAGGGATTAAAAAAACAACAAAAGCCATAAAAAAACAACCGGTTTTCCCTCATATCAGTGTTCTTCAACCCAGTCCTCAGGGACCCACAGATAGTTAAAAACGCCACCTTACATAAACAATTCAGACTATGCACATAAACTGTTCCTTTCCAGAAAAATCAGTGTATCGAAGCAACTGAGTGCCGTCAAGCCCAGCAACACTTCATTCTCATTTTCAAAATCAGCAGAGTGGCCAATGTAGTAGAAGCGGAACAAGTGGTACGGGAGGAAGCAGAGTATCACGATCAGCAGGAAGCACACGTTCTTTTTCTGCGCCCCGAACTCCTGCCGAGTGTGTGTGTCAGCTCCGTATTGCCGGAAGATGCGGCACAAAATCAGCCCCTGGCAGCAGGTGAGAGTGAACACGGTGCCGATGGAGACCGCGCTGCATAGATAATTCAGCACTGCTGCCGCAGCGCTCGCCTGCAACTCCTTGCCGAAATTGAAGCACTTTCTTTCCGTGGAGTTCCTGTTTGACCCGTACATGAGATCGATCACGGGGAAGCCTATGAGTAAACCCAAGGCCCAGACAATGAGACTGGCCAGCACCACGTGCAGTTTCCTGTAGAACTGCACCTCGTCCCCCACTGAGCAGAAGGTATGGTAGCGGATTCCCAGGATGATCGTGTAGAAAAGGAAGGCGATGTACATATGGCCGTGAATCATACCGCTGACCATCTTGCAGAAACCCAGACCCAAGTTCCAGGTGTCGGTCACATAATAATAGATTCTGAACGGCACCGTCAAGAGGAAAATCGAATGCACCACTAATAGGTTGGCGACCGCTATGGTGGTAATGGTTCGCAAGTTGGATTTTAGTACACCGATCATGAGACAGATTCCCACACTGCCTCCTACAAGCACAATGGTGTATATAGTCACTAAAGCAATCCTGTAAGGCTCCTCAGATAACGGTCTGCTTGAATTGTTAGTTGAATTCATTATTCTGCCTTCCAAAGACATCTTCATTCCAGGGCACCTACAAAGAAGAACCAACATCAAATAAGTGCCTCATTCCAAAGTTTATTTGAAGCAGTAATGTTATTACATAAGTTACGTTTCCCTTTACTCCAGTCAAGGCCTCAGTTCATGATCACATCCCCTCTGCCTTTTTTTCCCAGCCATAAACAAAACATTAAATAAATTACTAATAAATATTTATTTTTCCTTTGCACTATGACTTCACTCCCACAGTACTCTGACATCCAAAGCTAAGTAAAATACTCTGAGCTACCTACAGTATCAGACTGAAAATCTGTTATCATCCACCACAATAAAAACATCACTCAATAAAAATATCTGTCCTCCAACCAAAAGTACATGCTGATGCAAGGAGTTTTGAGTTTGCAACTAAACAGCAGCAGAAGTCACCCAAAGATGATAAAATGATTTGCCTTTCAATTTGACTATGGGCACGGCTATGGATTATCGGCCCACCAAATAGTTCACTAGCCCCCCACTCCTGGTCAACAACTTTTACCATTGCCACCTCACCCTCAGCCATCAGATTATTTTTGATATCTCAATGTCCTGACATTGGCACAAGGGGACAAGGCAAGGAACAACCCAGGATGGGGCACTGACCCATTGCAGGGCACATTCACACACCATTCACTGAGAAACTCACACCTACAGGTAGGCTAATTCCAATTAGCCTCCAATTGGCTTGTGAGGGGGAAACTGCAGTGCCTGGAGGAAACCCCACAATGACATTGCGAGAACATGCAAAGTCCACACACATGGGACCCTGGCAGACATTTGAACCCATATCCCAGAGGTGGAAGGCAACAGTACTATCCACTACACCACCATGCCACCAGTATATTATTTTTGATAAGATTATATATCATCATTATAATAGCAGCATGTCATGTCATAAAGGGTCTGAAAACGAGGTACTGTGAAGCTTGGCCGACCGAGGCATTATAGCAGCAACGGTGATGGACGAGCGGAGACGGTTTTTCATGAAGTTGCTCTTCATATGCAGCTCTTAAAAGAGCCCCGCGATAAGCAGCAATACACAGAGGGAAAGACGGCAAGCAAACGCGAAGAGGTAACGCAATAAACAATAAGGTTCACACACGGCAGGGTAATAACACAATGGCTAAGACACGCGAGAATCAGGTATGGACGGAGTACATACACAAGTAAGGGTACACAGAGCAAGTATCAACATTTACAGCAATTACATACAGGGGCTATTTACAAGTGCTCCCGGCACGCTCAGCGCACTTACTGGGCTCTGCTGCTCGGATCCATCTCGCCGGCGCTACTATATATATTACTAAATTTCCACAAAGACATGCTCACATTTAGTTCCTTTTCAAGACTACGTGATTTTGTAACGGACGCTAAAGCGTACTTCAAAATTCTCTCTATTTTCTATACTTCAAAGTGATCTCAAAACGCTGATAAGTTTTTTTCAGTGGTGAACTTCATTATATCAGATATCAATCAACTGCACACTGGCCAGTTTAAAAAACTGGTGGAGGTTGATGTTGTAATTTAAACTTGAGTTTAAATGTCATCCGAAAAAAAAAATCACTCATAAGCTACCAATTCAGCATCCCCCATTGTCATAGTCTATAAGTTTACCAAACTAAATAAATAAATAAACTTTAAACTCATAATTTTATGCAGGCCAACAGGCGTTTATCTAAAATGTGCTCTGTCATAAATTTAAGCAAAACCATACACATTTGGATACAAAAAAGTCACAAAAGTTACATCGCTATAACGTCATTGAGGATGAAATATAGCAACATACCTTTTTCCCAGATTGTGCCTATTCCCACCGCAGCCTATTCCGTGTTTAAGGTAGGCTATTGCATTTCGTCATACCGGTACATCTACCACTTTGCTTGCAACTTTCTCTTCAAGCAAATGCACAGAAACCACGCATCGGTCTGAGACTTTCGAGACGAAACTGAAAGTCTAATTTTATGAAGTGCATACAATAGGGTAAATGTTTCGGACAAAGACGAGATTAAACGAAGGCGGAAAAGACACTAACAGGGCGAAAAGTAACTATCTGCCTCGGCGTCATCTTTTTGTGAGCTATTTCGCAAGTGCTTTTTTTCCTTTTCCCTTTAAATTTATTCATTAACAGATTTACTCAGTCTAGGGTGTACTTTACCCTGCAGCACAACCAGTTAAGAGGCATTTCTGGTTTTTCAGATGAACATGTATACCGCCATCAATATAGGGTGAACTAAGAAAACGTGGGACACTATACGGTAAATAATTTAGAAAAATCTCATGAAAGTAATGTTTTTTTTTCTATTAGCTGCATGTCAGTTGTGGGTGGACATTTTAAAAATCTATGAAATATTTAAGAATTAAAATGGATAAAGCATGGAGAGGCACCTCTAATTTCTTGACCTTTTTCGGGTAAAGTGGGACAGCTCTTCTGCAGCAGTGGAACAGTGTTTTTATATAGAGACATCATGTACTTCAACTGCACAAAATATTTTACTGACCAAGAAAACAAACCATAAATAAAACATTTTGTTCACATCCAACTACTTCAAATAAGTAATTGTTTTCTTTTTCACATTATGCATGTTGGGTGGCATGGTGGTGCAGTGGTTAGCACTGTTGCCTCCCAGGCAAGAAGGTCCTGGGTTTGATTTCTGGGTCACCCAGGGTGCTTTTCTGTGTGGAGTTTGCAAGTTCTCCCCGTGCATGTGTGGGTTTGCTCTGGTTCCCTCCCACAGTCCAAAGACATGCAGATTAGGTCAACTGGCTACTCTAAATTGCCCGTAGGTGTGAGTGTGTTGGCCTTGCGGTGGACTGGCGGCCTGCCCAGGGTGTACCCGGCCTCTTGCCCAAAGATGCTGGGATTGGCTCCAACTTCCCTGTGACCCAGATGGATTAAGTGGTATAGATGATGGATGGATGTCTTTAAATATTCCTTGGTATGTTTTGCCCATCGAGTTGGACACCCCCATCTACATTATTTATATGTAAAGTTTTGATTTGTCACATTTTACCTGAAAAGTACTGTCCCACTTTTACCAACACCTTCAGCAAACATGAGACAACACTAAAGACAAAAACAAACAAAAAACTAATATATTCTATCTTTTGAAAGTGTTATTTCATTTCTTGGTCTGTTTGCCATGCATTTTCGCTACGCAGCGTTTCTTGAAATTCTGGAAACACCGAGCACAAACATGTCACCCCACTGAAAACAGCTGGTGAAGACTATGCCCTGTTGTAGCATTATTTTACCACCGTTCATTTTCATTGGTTGTTGATTTGTTTTTAGGTCAAAGCTTAAATGTCCCACTTTACTCAGCGTCCCACTTTTGCTTTAGTTACTCTACATAAAAGGTGCATATTTATGCATTTTTAAAAATGTTTGTTACTTATGTGAATATTGCTTTACCTCGAGCAGGTGCCAAAAAGGTTTAAAGAACATGTGATGTAGATATGGTAGGAATAAGCATCTTAAGCTATTTATGCATAAACAAACTTTACGTGGAATTTGTTTAAATGAAAACACGTGACACTGGCAGCAAATGAGTTTTTAACATGCAAAATATTTATGTGGACCGTGAGGGGTCAAAAGCAGATGGGAGAATACAAGAACTTACTACAAAAATATCCAAAGAGTAACAGAGGGTGCAGAACTAGGGAAAAAGGGGGGAAGGAAGAAGAGAAGAAGGAGAAAAAAAAAAACAGAACAATGCAGCATAGAGTAATATCTAACATTCTAACATACATACACAATGACCAACCAGGAAAATGATCTAAGGCAAGAACAGGTAACGAGAACTAACCAATGGAAAGTGTGAATCATGAAGCAAAGCAACCAATCAGAGACAACAGGTAGAACAATTAACAAGTACTGGCAACAGGTGAAACTAATAACAGACTATCACTGAACTAAGAAGCTTAAACTAGGAAACAATCTGACACTAGTAAAGTAGTAATAAGAAAATAATAACTATCTGCTGCTTCCTGTCTGTGTCCAAGTGAGGTCATCCGAGATGTGCACACCCTATCTCCCTCCTCATCTACATGCAAAGGGCAGGGTGCTCTGTGCACTTGATTTCCTGAGGATTTCCTGTTTTGTAGTATTTAAGTCCGAGTTACTGTGGCTGCACCATTCTGCTAGACACTGAACCTCCTCCCTGTAGGCTCATTATTGTCCAATATTAGCCCTACTATGGTGGCTTCATCAACAAATCTGACTATAGTGTTGGTAGCATGGATGGGGAAGCAGTCATGAGTAAAAAGGTAGTAGAAGAGGGTGCTGAGGATACATTCCTGGGGTGTACCAGTGTTCAAGATGAGAGTGGATGATGTGACATCTCCCATCCTGACATTCTGGGGTCTGTTACTCAGGAGGTCCAGTAACCATGTGCACAGTGTACTGCCTAAGCCCAGATTACTCAGATTTTGAACCAGGTTGTGGGGGATGACTGTATTAAAAGCTGAGCTAAAGTCCACAAACAGCATTCTTACTGTACATAGGTGTGTCCCTGGTCCAAGTGTGTGAGAGCTGTGTGGAGAGTTGTGATAACTGCATCTTCTATCGATCTCGTTGCACAACATGCAAACTGCTATTGAGTCAGCAGGGATAGCAGACTTAATATGAGAGAGGATAAGTCTCTTGAAACTTTTGGTGATAATGGGAGAGCAACTGGGCAGTAGATATTGAAGCAGTTCCCAGTACTTTTCCTTTGGTTCTAGGATGATCGTGGCTAATTTAAGGCAGGTAGGTACTGCAGACTGTAGTAGCAGGGGATCCAAAGCCGATGGGCACAAGGATGGGGTACCAACCCATCACACACACACACACACACACACGCCAGTCACTGGCACATGCACACCTACGGGTAATTTGGTAACTCCAATTAGCTTCTGCATTGTTTTGGACTTTCGGGGGAAACCAGAATACCTGGAAGAAACCCCACAACAACATGAGGAGAACATACAAACCATGTTGCCATGGCAGGAACTTGAACCCAGACGCCAGAGGCATAAGGCAACATTGCTACCCACTGCACTGCCATACCAACCCACACAAAATCATCATGCCGTATTTACGTTTGTTAGAGGAAGTTGTGTGTGGCCAGATACAAAGGAATCAAGACTTTAGAGATCACAATGATTATTAGTGAAGCGCATAAAGTAAAAGGTTGTTTCTGTGACATCCTTCCAGCCTGCCCGTCCTTCTGCCTGTAACTGTCACATTCGGGCATTGAAGGAGGCAAGGGTAGGTGTGGGGAATCAAACAAAGGGGGCTTTATTAAACCAAAACTAGGGCAAGGAAAACAAAAACAGACTGCGAAGGGTCAAAATGGGAAAAGCTAACACAGGGAAGATGGCACACCAAGGGGATGACTTTAATGACAGGACTCAGGAGCACAAAACCAGAAGCACTTAAATGCAAAGGACATGTTGGGAGCACAACGAGAGGCAGCTGGAGTGAATCACAGAAGGGCAGGAACAATAGGGAGGACTGACACAGAACAGCATTGCTTGTTAGAGCCACACTAGGGAGAAAACAGGAGGGGCAGGAAAGCAGGGCGTGACAGTAACGTCTCTCCTGCTGCTCGACTACTTCTTGCATTGACACTCAAATCTTAAAATTTGGACTGTGTAAATTAGGATTTTTCCATCTTGTTAATTTGATGTCCTCTGCTGGCCCCTGGAAGATGGGCTCCCCCTTTGAGTCTGGTTCCTTCCAATGTTTCTTACTTCTAGGGAGCTTTTATTGCCACTGTCACCTCTGGATTGCTCACTGGGGGCTTTGGGTGGGGATAACTAATCATCAAAGGTGGAAAGGTTGATTCCAGAAAGTATAAATCCAGACCAAGGTTTTTATCCAACCAATCAGTTGAGTATAAAGAGTCACATTCACAGAGTACTCAACTGGTTGATTGAATCAAAACCTTGGTCTGGATTTGTACTTTCTGGACATGAATTTTCCACCTCTACTAATCATGGAATATTAAATATAAGGGCAATTTTATTATTATAGTAATAATTTTAATTTGCAGACAAGGGATGCTGCAATGAAGCATTACTCAAAAACAGAAAAACCTAAATTGAAACAGCGCATATCACACCACATATCTAACACCATTTCCTTGGAGAGTCCCAAATCTTGTGTTCTATTTTTAAAATAACTTCTTGAGAATTTGATTTTTATTGGTTATTGAAACGTGGCTGATCTTGCCATAACTCCAGTGCCACATATTGCCTCTAAAGACACATTATCGGACCAAGCATACTATTTTATTACTTGTATAAAGGTAAAGTAGTTTTAATATTTCATAGATTTAAGAATCTGAATAATAAAATCAGAAAAACAATGATGGAAAATGAAAGTATTTTTTGTAGAATCCATCATTTTGATAAATTAATTCAGCATGTGAGTGGGAACATGTGGCACTCGCGCATAACCGTTTGTTTTTTAGTAAAACAGTACTTTCATTGTACTATAAGCACATCGATTTATTGCTTGTTACAGCTGGTAAAGTAAATATATGTCAGTCAATTCGCAGCAGAACTGGCAATTTTCACAATCAACTTTGCATCTTTTAAGGCTTTTCCACCGTAGCAGGTACTGTACTTTTATACTTCACCAAAGTACCAAAAGTACGTTACTTCAAGATGTTGGTTTTCTACTGCCGTAAAAACTGGTGCAACGTAGCAGTGGTAGCCGACGAGTTTGCCCACCTGCTCAACAACCTCCCGCGTCTGTGAGACCCCACTTTTTCTACCAGGGAGACTAAGCATGGGGTTGATCAATATACCCTCCACATGGTGCCCAAGGCAGATGGGGGATGACGACCGTGTGCTGGCTACAGCCGACTGAACAAAGTCACAATCCTGGACCACTACCCAGTTATGCACATACAGGGCTTCTCAGCATGGTTTACCGGGAGACTAATTTGTTCTCAAGTGGACCTCGTGCGGAACTATAACCAGGTACCTAAGCACCCAGAGGTCGTTCCCAAGACAGTGGTCATCACCCCCCTTTGGGTTATTTGAGTCTTTGTGCATGCCATTTGGCCTTAAAAACACAGCG